GTGCTCTAGTAACTGTTAATTTCATAATACAGCATGATACAGACCCAATTTCCACAGAAGCCATAGTATGCTTCTTTGTGGAGCCAAACTTGGTGGTTTTAAGGGGACCTGGGAGTAGAGAATATACATTGGTTGGTTTAAATGTTACAGTTATTAGGAAAACCATTATTTTCATGTTTATATTGAAGACACAGCCCCTCAAATAACTTTTGTAGTCTAGGTATTTCTCTTAGTATTAATGACTTCTAATTTTTGAGTGTTTGCTGTGTGTCATGCCTTCTGTATAGTGCTGCATTTATTTTATCATGACACCTCAAATGAGGAATCTGGAACTTAGAAGGTTAAGAGACTACTGTAGCAGTCTGTGAAAAATGTTGAAACACAGAACTAAAACTGATGTGTTGTTGGAGATGAGGAGACAGATAAACTTGGGGAAGATAGAATTGAAGAACTGAAAGAGCTGACAACCAGCTGGACAAAGATCATGGCAAAGAATCTAGGGCAATTTGGAATTTTGATTTGGGTAACTGGATAGATGGATTGACTGAGAAGGGAATACTGGAGAATTATGTTGGGAGGATTGGACCAGAAAGGATGAGCTCAATTTTGGTAAAGATTTTGAGGTGGTTGCAGAATCTCCAAGTGGAGATACCTGTTTGGTATATAATTGGATATGTTGATCTAGAGTTTGGAGAAGTTTGAACTAAGGAAATTTGTTAATGTAGTTATTCAAAGAGTTAGAAGAGATGTCCCCACCATGGGGTTTGTAAAATGACAGGATAGGAGAGAGTTGTGAGGAACACCATCATTTAGGAGTCTCAAAGAAGAGTACCTGGGAAGAGGTAAGAGGATCAGAAGAGAGTGGTAGAAACCAAAAGAAGAGTTTTAAAAATCAAGAATGGTCAGTGCTATCACATTGCAACTGAAGCCTGAAGAATGACACTAGAAAAAGAAGAGCGGTCTTTTCGGAGGGGTGGAGGCTGTAAAGGACACAGTGAGTATACACTAATGGCCACAGTCGAACTTCAAAAGAAGTGATTCTATAATTGTGATTGTATAAATATGTCTATGAATTTGTCAGCTGCCCTTGAATAGTTGTTGGTTCAGTATAAAAATGTCTGGAGCGCCTGGGTGGTTCAGTCGATTGAGCATCTGACTCTTGATTTCGGCTCAGGTCATGATCTCAGGGTCGTTAGGTCAAGCCCTGTTTCGGGCTCCGCGCTTGGCAGGGAGTCTGCTTGAGATTCTCTCCCTCTCATGTTGCATGCACGCACTCTCATTCTCTCTCAAAAATCATTAAAAAAAAACGTCTAGTTTGTAGACATCATAGGAACTACAAGTATAGATAGGAATCACAAGGTTTCATGTGTTATGCCCTTTTCTACATGGACATGCATTGGTTTTATTATAAAAAAATCAATTTTATGAGTAAAGTACAATAGACATGCAGTGACTTTGTAATTGTTCTTGCTTACATTGCATGGCTGCCCAGATATAGTCCTGCCTAGGCATATTTCACCAGGAGTTAAGATTGCTGAGTTGGTTTCTGGAGAGTGACTGCAGACACACTTTTGTCTTCTATCTATTCTTATGGCTCTTGGGCCTTTTGGCACATAAAGGGAAGATACTGTCTTAGGATAACCCCTCCTCCTGCCACACCATTCTAGTAAAAATAAAACACACTGGACTACTTACAGAACAAAAAAGTGGTCAGAAAACTTACTGTTGCTTTCTCTTAGAACTTACTCCACCTGCTGTCATAGTCACTGAAGTGGATGCTTTCCTTAGCTCAGTGCTTGACAGTAAGGAGCATAAGGAATTTACTGTGTGAATGGCTTTAAACCTTGGCCTCAGAGGCCCTTCCTGAAATCACCTTTAGTGATGGTTTCATTCAGTAAAACCAGGGTTTCAGTGTTAGAACAGTGTTCTAGAGAAAGCTTATGGGTCAGTTTCCATGACTAAAGAGAGGCCTGAGGAATATTTGTTGCCTAGATGTTGTTCTAGCATTAGGTAGTTGAATACAAAGGTACAGTAGTCCGAGTTTCACAGCTTTTTGGTCCTTCCAATGGAGCAGCTGCTTTGGAATATGTAGTGGAACACTGGCAGTTTCTACTTGCTCCTGAATCTGTCACCACACTTAACAAATGTTTATCGCCCCTCCTGAGGTAAACGGCCAGGGTACCTTGGCCTAGAAGAGTGTTTTCATGGTTCTTTATCAAAGTCTACTATGCTTTACATAATAGAACTATGAAAGGCATTTTTCTGGAATAATGAGGTTTTTTTAAGATTTTTAAAATTTATTTGACAGCGACAGCAGGAGAGGGAATATAAGCAGGGGGAGTAGTAGAGGGACAGGCTTCCCGCCGAGCAGGGATCCTGATGTGGGGCTTGATCCAGGACCCTGGGATCATGACCTGAGCCGAAGGCAGATGCTTAATGACTGAGCCACCCAGGCGCCCCTAACAAAGTTATTCTTAAAAGTAGGTAGCTGGGAAATAAATTGGAGATTAACACCTTCTGTCATACTACACAGTTCTCGCAACTTGCAGAAGCAAAGTTCTGCTTCTGAGGACCCCAAATGAGTGTAGTTGCCGTCTATAAAAGATTGGGGATATACTGAGTATTTCTAATATCTCTAAAAATCATTTTTAGATCTGTTATCCATACTTAATGTGGAACTCTGCAAATGGGCATGGTGTGTAGATACTTCATATGTGTGTATTTTCTTTGTATAAGCTACAGATTTTCATTCAAGTATTTACTTAACACTTTCTTGGACTGTTAAGCCAGAGAATAGTCAAATCTTATGTCCACATATCACAGGTTGGGTGACTCTAAGTGTCTTTTTTGGACATTGCCAGTGGTAGGGAGCTCATTCCATTTTTGAACATACCAGAAAATTAGTGCAAAGAAAACACACTTTTTCTTTTTGGGGGGGGTGGGAAAGAATTTTAATACATTCACCAAATTAAATGAAAGGACAACATACTGTAGACACAACTTAAAAGTTTAGAATCATAAACAAAATGTGAGGTAGACCAACTAGTGAAATTCACCAAATTTTGGTTAAGAAAATTTTACAGTAATAAAGTAACACAGGTGCCTCCTTTTCTAAAAATCACAAAAAGCAATTGCATAAATTACAGCCAAAATAATTGAATACAATTCTCATTCTAATTTTAGTTTACATTCAGTATTAACCTGTATGAACTGTCCTACATGGCAAGGTTCAACAGGTCTATAGATCAATTATTATGCAGGCCTAGCAAACACATTCATACCACAATGTTCTAAAGGATGGCAAGGCTTGAAGCTGAACACACCAAGGTATGTATTAACAAATCATGGTGTCTGTGCTTGTGCAATTTTATCCTTAAAGGAGAAGGACCTCACATTCTCTAAAGAATTATACTGATAAGGTGATTTTAAAAGATCCAAACCTTAGTAATACAGGCATTGAAAAGAATGGGTGGGTCATTTGGAATTTTCCATCATTGGGGTGATGGTCTTTTTGGCTTTTTTCCGGCACTTTCTCTTCCACAGGGTTAAATAGTATTTAAGAGATCACGGTTATTTGATTTTTCAGAGTGCAGCTGTGGAGTACCTGCATCTAAAGTTACTACTTTAAAAAACACGCTTTAGACTTTGAAGCCATAAAGCCAGAAGAAACCCTGAGAGGCCATCTGCCCCAGGTACAACTGTTTTGGAATTATTTCAAGTATCTTATTTGCTCTATATAGTAAATATTATTGGAATATTGCACAAACAGTGGGTTTCTTGATATCATCTGCATTAGGCCCTTTCAACAAAACAGGAACAATTGAAATACATTCATATCTAAATCAACCTGCTTCAAAACGTACCTCTTTACCAAAAATTCTGCTGTACTAAAGGAGTATTTTTAAAGAATACATAAGGCAGATCCTCTTTGAAGGACAATTAAAAAACATGGGGTTTAAAGGAATTGTTCATTTCAAAATACATTTAAAGCATCATAAGTAGCTATATTAAAACCAAGAGATCTGCAAACCGTTTTCAGATTAGTACATTCCATCTTTTCACTACTGTAAACTCCTTATCACAAGCTAATAAAGCTGGTTGGTTAACATTATTTGTTCTAAGTAAATGCAGGCTTAGTCAGCCCCCTCTCAGTTTCAGGCCACAGATAAGATATCAATTCAAGTAACAATGGCCATTTTAAGTGGGTACATATGGGCTAATAAGAAAAATGTCAAAGAGATTGTTTAACGAGAACTGGAGTAATTTAAGCGTAAACTTTCAATAGACTTAGTTCTAGAACATTTTCTAAAAGTCTGTTTTTGATTAAAATATATTGGTGAGAAGTCTGTAGAAACTTACACTGTCGATATTGAACAAACATCCCCTGCTGATTTTAGTGAGTCAGAGACCTTAATGGAATCTTTCTTACTCTTCACAAGGATTAAAATGGTTGTGTCTCTCTGGCTCTGTTTCCCATTTCAGCGATTTTTGTGTTGTCAGTATAAGGTAGCTGATACTCAGTGTATCTTTTAAAGGAAGCTTTGCTTGAGGCCCTGAAAAGAAAGAAACTACTTCCACGCCACACAGAACCATAGCCTGACATGTAGCTTTCCTGGCTTAATTCCAACCAAACAGGGTGGGTATGGGGTGACCGCTGAAAGCTTTTTAATTGGCTCAACTACTGAATTAGGTTCTCCTTGTAAAAGATTAAAAACTCTGTTCCATATTCTCATGGACATAGTGTGCTTAGAGACTGGAAACATTTTTAAAGAATGGAAAAAAAAAAAAGGAATTTCAGCAAGGAGAAGCTGCATAAATGCATACAGTGCCTGCTCTGCATTTACTGATTTGTTTGTTCAGTTTTAAATAGTAAACTTTTAACTCCTGTGGAAATTTTGCCAAAAGTTTCAATACATATAAGATTATAAATCTTAAACTAACACTGCACAGAGAAAGACAAAGCTACTTCTTTTTTTTTTTTAAAATACAAATATCTTCTACATTCTATCATTTCAGACCCCTGAGTAATACTGTACCAAAGTACAGATCTGAAGAGAAACTGAGGGTTCAGGCCTCAAACGTTAATCTTCAATTAATTCCACACCAACGGTGTGAGTCTCATGTAACACATTCAGGCTAGCTCATGCCAAGAGTCCGTTTTCCCCCTAACATAGTGTAGTAGAAAAAACAATGCAAACTCCATGTTCATTCTCCAAAGTGTATCCTCCTCAGGCTCCCGTGTCTTAAGTAATTGCATAACTGCCTAGGGTGGAGTTAACCTGAACGTAAGGTCCTGACAGTGGAACTGAAAGAGAGTGATCCCCCCAAAGATCTGGGTCAGATTGGGGTTGCAGGGGTGGATTTCTTTGGAGAACAAATATGTTGCACTTTGCTCCACAGTGATTGTACTTTAAAGGAAAAAAAAAAAATCCAAATAATTGTTTCCGCCCCACCCCACCTAGGCATCCCTTTGCTATTTTTGGTCTCTTCAAAAGCTCATACGTGGCGGCCAGTAAGAAAGTAGAGGGGCTTGTCATCGCTGCTGTTTGCAGTTTGAAACTCGTCCCGGAGGCGGAACTGCCACTCATCCTCTAGCTCTAAGCGGACAATTGTTTGGCGTAAGGAGCTTCTGTCTTGGCAGATGACACACAGGGTAGCACCTTCAGAAGAAAGGCAGAAATGTGTCTTAGGCTCAGGGATTGAAATTATAAAGAACGCGCCATTTTTTTCTGATTATATCCTCTAAGCTGACACATCTGAGAAGCAACATAAAGGTAAGTGACCTATCACAATTGTTATAATTTTAATTTTTATTTGAGTACGTAGTCTTACAAATTCAAAAGTTGAAGAGTGTAAAGTGAAAAATCTCGCTTCCCCCATGGTAACCAATGGTAAAACCAATGTTCTGTGTTTCTAGTGCAGGGTTTCTCCACCTTAGCAACACTGGATCATTCTGTTACAGGGGAGCTGTTCTGTTCTTGCAGGATGGTTTAGTAGCATCCTTGGCTTCTACTCACTAGATGCCAGTAGCACCTTCCAGTGTGGGAACCTAAGATGTCTCCCGATATTGCCAAATGTCCCCTGGGAGGCAGCCTCCGCCTCACTGCTCCAGATGCATTTTTTGCATACATAAATACACAATATCATCTCTTCTTAAATTCTACATATGAGTAGAATCATACAGTATTTGTCTTTCTCTGACTTATTTCACTCAGCATTATATACCCTCTAGGCCCATTCATGCTGCTGCAAATGGCAAGATCTCTTCTTTTTTATGGTGGAGTTAGTCCATTGTATACAGATACATCTTCCTTACTCATTCATCTATGGTGGGACACTTGGGTTGCTTACATATACTGCCTATTTTAAATAATGCTGCAACAAACATTGGGGTGCATGTATCTTTTTGAATTAATGTTCTTGTTTTCTTTGGGTAAATACCCAGTACTCTTTAGTTTTTGAGGAAACTCTACACTGTTTTCCACAGTGGCCTTTGCACAATATTCTGAATCTTACTTTCTTCACTGACCTCGGAGGTCATCTTGTCATGATTATTTGTGATGCTTAATCTGCAGTTTGTTCTTAGGCAGATCTCTTTTGTATAGTGCATACCTGTTGAAGCAACTTTAGTTTCTATACCAGAATCACAACTCATTAACCTGATTTTTACTAAAATTAGATTTCTGCTTACATTGCATCATTCCTTTCTAAAATTAATAGTGGCAAAAACAAACTTAATGGGATCACATTTCTGGCCGTGTATCTGTAGTTTGTCCTGGTAGAACAACCACCTGATTCTATCCCCGCCCCAGTTAAGAAAATCGCGGCCCTGGTTTAAAAACAAAGTGTTCAATTTACTGGCAAAAACGATTGTTAAAGTGTTTTTTTATATGTTTCACCTCCCTGTTTTGTCTGGGGGAACAATGGCATTCACAAGCAAAAGACACTAAATTTGACTTACCTTTTAGAAACTTAAATTTCTTCAGAAGATCAGCACCTACAAAAGAGTCACAGAGGTACAAGAGAAGTCCACTGAAAAACACCCCTTCACAGCTGACATTGCTGGAGTGGGGTCTGGAGCTGACGTAGCATATGGCCACCTGGAATCATCAAGCAGACATAGCATGGGCATTTCAAAAAGCAAGTAAAACCATCTGTACTTTAGCTGAGTGAGCCAGTACCTTCCTCTTTAGCTGTTTCAGGGTAAGGTAAAGAAGGTAAATTTTTTTTACTGAAACTTAAAGAGTCTGGTTATTTAAACTCTGTACCTCTTTTATTTAGTGTGCCAAGTTTTAACCTATTTAAATCTTCGTGTTTCTCTTAATGAAGGACGGTTGAGAGAACTAGTAGTAAGAAAACAGACCTCTTCACCTAAACGTCTTTATAAAATGAAAAACTGCCTTCCACAAAAAGGCATACTTAGAAAAGATTAAATGTTTTGAGTAGAAATTTTTTATTCTCATTAATAAAGTAATCAGCTTTTAATTTAGATACACTTACATTTTCAATCAGACAGAAGCTTCAAGCAATATATGATTTTACTGGGTGTAGAGCCCAGCATGGGGCTTGAACTCATGACCCTGAGATCAAGACCTGAGCTGAGCTCAAGAGTCCAACACCTAACTGACTGAACCACCCAGGTGTCCCCCAGCAGTGCATGATTTTTTTTTTTAAGATTATTTATTTATTTATTAGAGAACACAAGAAGGGAGAGTGGGAGGCAGAGGGAGAGGGAGAAGCAGACTGCCTGCTGAGCAGGGGGAGCCCGATGGTGGGCTTGAAGCCAGGACCCTGGGACCATGACCTGAGCCCAAGGCAGATGACTAACCAACCCAGCCACCCAGGTGCCCCATAGTGCATGATTTTTAAGATTTAGTTCTATATGGCTTGCATGTACAGAATATAACTATACAGAAATTACAAGGAAGTAAGATAGTTGGGGAGATCTTGAGAACAGTGAAATGGTTTACTGCATGGACCTGACCACTTGGATCCAAATAACTGGTTCCTCTGCTTAGTAGCTAGTAGGTGACCTTAGAGCAGCTTTCTTCATTTTGCCATACCTCAGTTTCCTTGTCTGTAGAAGTAACAGTAGTACCTGTTTCATAGGACTTTTGTGGAATAAATACTGTAAACTGCTTAGTAGGTATTCAGTGAGTGTTAGCTGCTGTTAGACAACACAGTCTTACTGCTACTCACATCTAGAGCCCTGGACCCTGGGGTGGAGGAGTTTGGAGATATCATAAAAGCACTATTATACCTGATGGTTTTTTTTTTTAAATATTTTATTTATTTATTTGAGAGAGAGAGAGAATGAGAGATAGAGAGCATGAGAGGGAAGAGGATCAGAGGGAGAAGCAGACTCCCTGCCGAGCAGGGAGTCCGATGTGGGACTCGATCCCGGGACTCCAGGATCATGACCTGAGCCGAAGGCAGTCGCTTAACCAACTGAGCCACCCAGGCGCCCTACCTGATGGTTTTTAAGGTTCCTTCTACCTCAAATTCTACAGTTCATGGTCCAACCACAGTGTAGATTACTGAAATTTCTTAAGAATGAGAATGTAAAGTGTTTATGCTATTTGAATTAAAAATCCGTTCCCAGGGGGCGCCTGGGTGGTTCAGTTGGTTAAGAATCTACCTTCAGCTCAGGTCATGATCCCGGGGTCCTGGGATCGAGTCCCGCATCGGGCTCCCTGCTCTCCCCCTGCTTGTGTTCCCTCTCTCTCAAATGAATAAATAAAAAATCTTGAACAGTTGTATTTCAGTCTGAAGAGATTGTGTATGTCAATACACACAGAGAAAAAAAAGCCAAAGAGGAAATCTAGTACACCAAAATGTTAACTTCCCATTGCAAATGATTTTTCCTTTATACCTTTTAATTTTTTAAAAAGTTCTTTACAAAGAGGATATTATGTTAATGAATAGAATAAAATATTTTTAAAACAATACTAATAATCATAGGGGAAATCTTAGTGGTGGAAGCCCTTAAAGGTCCAAAGGCCATCAGTGGTCTAAAGGTGCAAGTGACAAATTTTTTAAAAAGCTAAAACTGATGGGGAATTTGAGACAAGAGAAAGAAAGAATGAAAAATAAGGAAATGAAAAGAAAGAAATCCAGGAATAGAAAGTGGTGACGTGACAGCTCTAAAGGTCTCCTGTGATCCCCTAAATTGTTCAGCAATCACTGAGCTCCTCTTCTGCCTAAACAGTGGCTAAGACACTGTGTGCCTCTGAAGAACTGTGTCTTGTGGAGAAACATCATCACGTGATTATAAGATGGTCCGATATATTGTAGGACAGCAAGCAACTGCTTCTGTCCAAGGTCATGGGTAGGCTTCTCAGTGGAACTGACCTCTGAGCTAAGCTTTGCGTATTCACTGGCTCACTGTGAAGAGCTGAAGTAGGTATGGGGAGGGACAATCGCCATCACATCTTGTGTGAGCCTTTGCAGTATGTCACAGGCTCCTTTTTTGTCTCCATTTAAGCTTTCAAATGGGAGCTAAAATGGGAAAGAAATGGGTGGAAGTGGGTAAAACACAGTGCTAGCCCTCTTCCCTTTACCTCTGGTCCAATGTTAAGGTAGCAGTCAATGGCCAACACGGGACTCTTGAAGTTATGGATGGCTTTGGGGAAGAGTTTGTAGGAAGCGTGCTGAAGGAACTTCTCCAGGAGAAACTGCGCCGGGGCTGCCAGTAGTGTGTGTTCACTGTCGGGAGCACAGACATACTGAAGGGGCAAGATGGGTGCTAAGCTCTCTGACACCTGAAATCAGAGCCGAGATTATCATGGGAAATATGTCTGTCACTGGACGAAATGGGCAAGGAAAAACTGCATTGCATACTAACAGTCCCCAAATAAGAGCAGTATAAGAGTGGCAGATACTAGGCTCATATGTAAGTCTGTCATTCTTGGGTTCTGAAAAAGTTCTTTCCCCTTGGGAATAGGTTGGGTCTAACTTAACACACCGCAAAGGCAGGAGAAACGTAGGCTTCTCTGAAAGTTACTGCATTTAGCAACATTGTGAGGGCCCACAGGAAGCCTTTCACAGTGCTGCTGGATGTGGACAGGTTAAATCCCATCCCACCAGATCCAAAAAATAAAAGCAAAGAGGTTTCTAAGCTCCATTGGGGAATTCATATGTTATAAATGATTAGATACCAGTAAATCTCTTGTAAGACATGGGTAGGTCCATAGATTTCACTCTCAAAAGTATTGGTAATTCTTTCTTTAAAAAAAAACAAAAAACTGGCAAAGGAACAAGCATCTTAATTTACATTTCTCTTATGTATTAAAGAATGTAAAAATGTTAATTTTGCCAGTTTATGAAGATAGAATGTTAAGTTTGAAACTTAAGATTTGGTGGAATTGTTAAGCCTTAAGTCTAAAGAAAGGTAGATCTGTTGACTTTTCACATCTTCTGTTTTGCTCTGGATGAATCCTCAGTAAGGGGAATGAGACTGCAAACTTGGCATTAAGAACTGACTCCCTTTTGTTCTCTCACTTTCCAGTCAAGTGCCAAGTGCTTAATGCCAGTGGCTAATAACAAATAACAAGTATTAGTAAGAAATTGTTGTCTTAACTTTCAACAGTAGAATCAAGCTTGCAAACTTACCATGATCTTTGGTTTAATGATAAAGTCCCTTTGCCCTCCAACCTGAACGTGCTTCTTCATGAGACTGAAGTTATTAAAGCGGCAGATGAGCAGGCCACTACTGTTTGTTCTCAGATTAAAGTCAACATCTTCACAGAAATACCTAAATCATAATCACAAGGATAGGTCTCTGACTACCTGTCCATGTTCATCACACACAAATGCATCACAGCTGGAGGAGGCAGACTCAGAATCAGCCTTGCCTTCTTCTGGAGCTGGCCCTCTTACCATTGGCCTGTGAACCCCCTGAATTGCGCACTGCAGTCATTAAAAGGAGGAGAAAGTGAGATGGCTTTGGCCCCAGATACCCCAAGGGTCCTTGGGCATTCCTGAACTGAAAGAGGACTGCACATGATATGTATTTTTGTGGGACATAAATGCAGAGGTGCTCCCAGTTTTAAAATCCTGGCTGCAAACAGGATGAAACATCTACCAAATTTAAAACACAGACATGAAACAGCTCCAGCATATTCTAATAGCTACGGGGATGGGGACTGACATAAAGTGACTTTATGGTCCCTGACATGCCTCACTTGGCCATTTCGGATTTTCTAGGATGGGGATGTTATTTATTCAGGAGGCAAGGTTAGGGCTAGCCTGCTCATTCTCACCTGCTGGCTCTTCCCTGAAGAATCCAGATCTCTGGATTTTACTAACATTTAGGGAAAGGGATTAACTTCTGAGTTCTGAGGATGAAAGAGTTCAGCTTCAGTGGGTTATGGGTCCACACACTGATTTGTGTTGACATAATAGTTTTTGTCCCCGTCTTAGTTCTTGTTGAATAATGGGATAGCTAAAATAGGTTTTTTAAGCATTTCATGTAATTTCTATGTTTTAAGGGTCTGGGTCAGTTTGAGGGATTCTATGAAGGTACACTTTGGGGCTTGTGATACCCCCTTTCTCTCCTTATCCATAAAAAAGAGATTATCAGTTTTTCAAAGACCAACTCAAAGGAATAGACACATTGTAGGGGTCAGAGTTGGACAGAAGCAATCAGTAGATGCCAGGATTACTTGCCTCCAGGAGGCCTGACTTACCTGTTGAAGTCGTACTGCACATTCTGAGTCAAGTCTATGTTAAGGAGAATGAAGTCATGCACATGGCACCTAGAAAATGGGGCTTTCAGGCTCTGAGAAGTCAGCTTGCTGCTCCATTTCTGTATGCCCAGGATTGCGTAGTGGATGATTTTTGGTGTTGCTTCAATATGCTGCAAGACACTCTTCAAGGACACATTCTTACTGGAAACTCCTGCTTCTATGGGCTGGCTGTGAAATGTAAAGTTGGTTTAAATAAGAGATCAATAAATATTACTGAGGAGAGGGTCATTTATGAAGGGCTAATGTTACTATACAGTATTAGTATCTGTAAAGGATATAACTAGCTGGTTTACTTTATATTAGCCTGGAGTAGAATGTCAAACCTAGTTTTCATGCTGCCTTTCACTGCTACCTTAAGGAAGCTGCCTTTTGGGTGTGGGGCTTAACCATATTAAGGCAGAGAAAGAAATCCAGCCCATCTCAAAATGAATAATGAACAGGGAGTTACCAACGAGAGGGAGCCAGAGGTTAGAAGCACATAGGTATACCTCCCAGTGTGGTAATTACAGTATAACAAAGGAATATTTGAAAACGTAACTGGCTTCATATCCACAAGTGGAAACAGACACAGTGTGTGAGCTGGAAAGGCTTAGAGGTCACCAGGAACTGTTTCAGTGGGGTGCTACTGATATTTTGGGACCATTTATTGCATAGGATTTCTCCAGGTTTAGCATTCCCTGGTCCTCATGGACCCCCTTCACCACTGTCCTGGTGGAGACAGTGGAAGGAGAACCACTGATTTTGGCTCAACCCTAATTTTACAAGTGATGGACTTGAGACAAAGAGATGAAATGACTTCCCTTTTCATCCAGGTAGTTACAAAGCAGAGCTGGGGTTAAAAAGCAGGTCTGATTCAGGAGCCAGTGGATTGTCTAAATCATAGCGCCTTTCCACAGACTTTATAGCAAACCAAAGCCATGATGCAGAAATAGTCCAGGAATGTAATGGCACACCGAATATCTAAATTTAAAAGAGAGTGCTAGTGAAGGTAGTCTCCTGGATCATTGCTTTGCTCTGGAAAGTTGCACCTCTCTCATTTACTTCCGTGCATAACTATAGCCAAGGAAAGGATCTTCTTCATAGCATTAGGTCATACTCCCCTAGAACCGTTTGGCAAGTACTACTACCTGCTTTGATCCTGAACACTGTGAATGTTCCACAGAACACACGAGTCATCCATTACAACAATGAAAGGCCAGACACACTGGCGTTTAACTCCCAGTTCTTCCAGGCGGTTCCTCTCCAGTTCCAGATTGTGATAGGACAGCTCCTTAATGAGAAACCTGGCAGCACCTGGAAGGCAACATAACCACAGCTGTACAGCCTTCACTCAGGCTTGACCCAAACCCTGCAGACAGCTCACATTCTTCCACAGGCATGCCCGTTCACGTGGTGACCATGCAGGGTGGGAGGGTCAACCAAGTGTACAGAGCAGTGGTTCTAAAGTAAAAAGAATCAGTGAAGGAGTCTGTTTAAAAATGCTGATTCCTGGAGCCCATCACCAGAGATTCACTTTAGGTCTGATGAAGGGCCAGAAACCAGAGCAGTCTTTGATAATGCAGGTGATTCATGAGCTACACCTTGAGGGGTTCTGTTAGAATCCAGTTTCCCCGATGGGACAAAGGATACCACGTAGAGGAAACGCTAATTACTGGTTAGTTCCTTTTACAGCCCTAAGACGTGCTCTCAGTCTTAGAAGCAGCCACTTGCATGTCCTGCTCTAAGGAGTAGCCAGGGTTGCAGTAAGTGGGTATGCTTCTTCTGATGTATCCCCTGCTTTAGGAGATTGACAGCAATGTCTTCTTTGAAGAAGATTCTGGAAACTGGCATTTCCCTAGATGGGCTTTTTTGCAAGAGGTAGTATGGTATAGTAAAAGACTGGAGCCAAGCTGGCAACATTTAAATCCTGATTCCATCACTTCCTAGCTGTGTGACTGAAAAAGTTAACTCTCCCCTATGCCTTGGCTTCTCCACCTATAAGAAGACAATAATAATGTCCACTTCACAGAATTGTATGGTGCTCAGGACAGTGCCTGACATGTGGTAAGTACTCAAAGATTAAGATGATGATCATCAGATCCATCCCTGTTGTTGCAAATGGCAAGATTTCATTCTTTTTATGACTGAATAATATTCCACTGTGTATATATGCCACATCTTTATCCTTTTTCATCTATCAATGGACACTTAGGTTGCTTCCATAATTTGGCTATTATAAATAGTGCTAACTCAAGTCAGAGAAACACAAGTACCATCTGATTTTACTCATAGGTGGAATTTAAGAAACAAAACAAATGAAGAAAAAAGACAAACCAAAAAAACAGACTAAACTATAGAGAACAAAGAGATGGTTACAGGGAAGAGGGGTGGAGATTGGGTGAAATAGGTGAAGTGGACTAAGTACACTTGATGAGCACTGAGTAATATATGGAATTGTTGAATCACTATATTGTACACCTAAAACAAATATAACACCATGTTAATTACACTGGAATTAGAATTAAAAATGATCACAGCCAAATTTTATGAATGGGACACCCGAAAATGAAACAAAATGTAGGTAATGAAAAGGCTAAAAAAACTATTAAATCTGTGGAGGAACCAGAAAAACAGTTTGAATAGATCAAGGGTACTACTAGAGATTTAGGAAAATCTACCTTCCAAGAGCATGTGTATAATACTTAGTATTCTCAGTGTAGTAAGGACCATATATGAAAAGCCCACAACTAACATTGTAATGATAAAAGATTGAAAGCTTTTCCTCTAGGATAAGAACAAGACAAGGATTGTTCCATTGTACCATTACCACTTCTCTTTAACACAGTACTGGAAATCTTAGCCAGAGTGATTAGGCAAGAAAAAGAAATAGAAGGCATTCAGGTTGGAAAAGAAGTAAAATTACCTGTTTGTAAGCAACATGACCTTATATGTAGAAAACCATAAAGATTCCACACACACATACAAACCGTTAGAAATAATAAAAGTGAATTAAGCAAAGTTGTAGATACAAAACTAAAAAATCAGTTGTGTCTCTATACGCTAACAATAAAAGGGAAATTAAAACAATTCCACTTACAGTGGCATCAAAAAGAATAAAATACTTAAGAATAAATGTTTAACCAAGCATGTGAAAGACCTGTACATGAAAAAGTACAAAACACTGCTGAAAGATGACACAGGTAAATGGAACATCCATGTTCATGGACTGGAACATGAATGTTCCAAACACATCCATGTTGAGATGTCAATATTACCCAAAGTATCTACAGATTTAATGCAATCCTGATCAAAATCTTAATGGTTTGTGTGTGTGCAGGAAAAAAAAAAAATCCATCCTTAAGTTCATGTGGAATCTTAAGGGACCCTCAATAGCCAAAACAGCCTTGAAAAAGAACAAAATTGGGGGCGCCTGGGTGGCTCAGTTGGTTAAGCGACTGCCTTCAGCTCAGGTCATGATCCTGGAGTCCCGGGATCGAGCCCCGCATTGGGCTCCCTGCTCAGCGGGAAGTCTGCTTCTCCCTCTGACAATCATCCCACCCCATGCTCTCTGTCTCATTCTTTCTCTCTCAAAATCTTTAAAAAAAAAAAAAAAAAAAAAAGAGGTCTCACAGTTGGCTGATTTCAAAACAGTATAAAACGACAGTAATCCAAACAATGTGGTAGTGGCATAAAGACAAATAGGCCAATAGGATGAAGAATACAGAGCCCAGCAGTATGCTCTTGTGCTTTTGGCCCAGCCCTAAGGGCCTGTATGGTCAAATGATTTTTGACAAAGGTGCCAAGACTATTCAATGGGAAAAGGACAGTTTCTTCAACAGATGGTATTAGAAAAACCGATATTCACATGCAAAAGAATGAAGTTGGACCTTTACCTTACACTGTAAAACTAAAATGGATCAAAGATCTAAATGCAAGAGCTAAAACTATAAAACTCAGGAAAAAACAGGTGAAAAGCTTGCTGTTGTATGCAGTAATGATTTGTTGGATATGACACCAAAAGCACAGCCAACAGAAGAAAAAGATTGATAAATTGGACTGCATCAAAATTTAAAATTTCTGTGCACCCATAACGAGCAAGGAAATTGAAGCAGTCATCAAAAATCTCCCAACAAACAAAAGCCCAGGACCAGATGGCTTCCCAGGGGAATTCTACCAAACATTAAAGAAGAAATAATACCTATTCTTCTGAAGCCGTTTCAAAAAGTAGAAATGGAAAGAAAACTTCTAAACTCATTTTATGAGGTCAGTATTACCTTGATCCCCAAACCAGGCAAAGACCCCACCAAAAAGGAGAATTATAGACCAATATTCCTGGTAAACATACATGCAAAAATTCTCACCAAAATACTAGCCAATAGGATCCAACAGTACATTAAAAGGATTATTCACCACGACCAAGTGGAATTTATTCGTGGGCTACAAGGGTGGTTCAACATCTGCAAATCAATCAATGTGACACACTACATAAAAGAAAGGACAAGAACCATACGATCCTCTCAACAGATGCAGAAAAAGCATGACAAAGTACAGCATCCTTTCTTACTCGTCACAGTGTAGGGATAGAGGGTACATACCTCAATATCATTAAAGCCATATATGAAAAGCTCACAGCAAATACTCTCAATGGGGAAAAGCAGAGCTCCTCCCCCCCAGGATCAGGAACACAGCAGGGATGTCCACTATCACCACTGCTATTCAACATAGTACTAGCAGTCCAGCAATCAGACAACAAAAAGAAAAGATATTCCAATTGTCAAGTCAAACTCTCAATCCTTGCAGATGACATGATACTCTGTGGAAAACCCAAGATACTCCACCCCAAAATTGCTAGAGCTCGTACAGGAATTCAGCAAAGTGGCAGGATATAAAATCAATGCACAGAAATCAGTTGCATTCCTATACACTAACAAGGAAACAAGAAAGAAATTAAGGAGTTGATCCCATTTATAATTGCACCCAAAACCATAAGATAACTAGGAATAAACCTAACCAAAGAGACAAAGGATCTGTACTCAAAAAACTACAGAACACTCATGAAAGAAACTGAGGAAGACACAAAGAAATGGAAAAATGTTCCATGCTCATGGATTGGAAGAGCAAACTGGTTTTTTTTTGTTTTGTTTTTTTTACTGAGGAAGACACAAAGAAATGGAAAAAATGTTCCATGCCCATGGATTGGAAGAGCAAACATTGTGGTTTTTTTGGTTTTGTTTTTTAAGATTTTGTTTACTTATTTGACAAACAGTGAGAGAAGGAACACAAGCAGGGGGAGAGGGAGAAGCAGGCTTCCCATTGAGCAGGGACCCCGATGTGGGGCTCGATCCCAGGACCCTGGGATCGTGACCTGAGCCGAAGGCAGACACTTAACGACTGAGCCACCCAGGAGCCCCTAAAGAGCAAACATTGTTAAAATGTCTATGCTACCTAGAGCAATCTACACATTCAAAGTAATCCCATCAAAATACCATCAATTTTTTTTAGAGCTGGAACAAATAATCCTAAAATTTGTATGGAACCAGAAAAAGACCCCAAATCGCTAAAGGAGTGTTGAAATAGAAAACCAAAGTTGGTGACATCACAGTCTTAGACTTCAAGCTCTATTATAAAGCTGTAATCATCAAGACAGTATGGTACTGGCACAAAAACTGGCACATAGATCAATGGAACAGAATAGCCCAGAAATGGACCCTCAACTCTATGGTCAACTAATCTTTGACAAAGCAGGAAAGAATATCTCATGGAAAAAAGTCTCTGACAAATGGTGTTGGGAAAATTGGACAGCCACATGCAGAAGAATGAAACTGGACCATTTCCTTATACCACACACAAAACTAAACTCAAAATGGATGAAAGACCTAAATGTGAGACAGAAATCCATCAAAATCCTTGAGAACACAGGCAGCAACCTGTTCGACCTCGAACTTCTTGCTAGACATGTCTCCGAAGGCAAGGAAAGCAAGGGCAAAACTGAACTATTGGGACTTCATCAAGATAAGCTTTTGAACAGCAGTCGACAAACAGCGGACAGAATGGGAGAAGATATTTGTAAATGTCTCATCAGATAAAGAGCTAGTATCCAAAGTCTATAAAGAACTTATCAAACTCAACACCCAAAGAATCCAATCACTAAACGGGCAGAAGATATGAACACACGTTTCTCCAAAGAAGACATCCAAATGGCTAACAGACACATGGAAAAATGCTCCATGTCACTCGGCATCAGGGAAATACAAATCAAAACTACAATGCGATACCACCTCACACCTGTCAGAATGGCAAAAATTAACAAGTCAGGAAATGACATGTTGGTGAGGATGCAGAGAAGGGCGAACCTTCCTCCCACTGTTGGTGGGAATGCAAGCTCGTGCAGCCACTCTGGAAAACAATACAGAGGTTCCTCTCAAAGTGGAAAGTAGAGTTACCGTATGACCCAGCAATTGCACTACTGGGTATTTACCCCAAAGATACAAATGTAGTGATCTGAAGGGGCACCTGCACCCCAATGTTTATAGCAGCAATGTTCACAATAGCCAAACTATGGAAAGAGCCCAGATGTCCATTGACAGATGAATGTGTGTATACACACACACACACGCACAGGAATATTACATCAAAAAAGTGAAATCTTGCTATTTGCAATGACATGGATGGAGCTAGAGGGTATTACGTTAAGCGAAATAAGTCGATCAGAGAAAAAAATTATGATCTCACTGATACGTGGAATTTAAGAAAACAGGATCATAGGGGAATAGAGGAAAAACTAAAACAAAATGAAATCAGAGAGGGAGACAAACCATAAGAGACTCTTAATCATAGGAAACAAACAGGGTTGCTGGGGGGGCGGTAGAGGGTTGAGATAACTGGATGATGGGCATTAAGGAGGGCATGTGATGTAATGAGCACTGGGTATTATATAAGACTTCTGAATCATAGGCCTGTACCTCTGAAACCAATAATACACTATATGTTAGTTGAATTTAAATAAAAGTTTTAAAAAAGAAATGAGTATACAATAAAGATTCAAAGATCTAAAAAGATAAAAATAAAATTTCTGTACAAAGGATATAAACAGTGAAAAGCAACCCATGAAATGGGAGAAAACATTTACAGATCATTAGTAGTGGTTAACATCTAGAATATATAAAGAACTCCTACAAGTCAACAACAAAAAAATCTAATTAAAAAATAGGGAAAAGACTTGATTGTCCAAAGTAAATATACAAGTGGCCAAGAAACACGTGACAAGATGTTCAACATCACTAATCATTAGGGAAATGCAAATCAAATCACAGTAAGATAGCATCTCCTATTAGGATGGCTATCATAAAAAACAAAAGACAAAAATCAGGAAATATTTATTGCTGAGGATATGAAGAAACATTTTGCACTGTTGGTAGGAATGTAAAATGGTATAGCCATTATGGAAAGCAGTAGGTCAATTCCTCAAAAAATTAAAAACAATTACCATATGATTCAGCAATTCCAGTTCTGAGTATATAATCAAAAGAATTGAAATCAGGGTTCCTAAAGAGATACTTGTAAGTCTTACGTTCATACCATTATTCACAAGTGTCCCATCAGTGGATGAATGGATAAAGAAAATGTGTATACACACAATGGTGTATACTCAGTCTTAAAAAGGAAGGAAATTCTGACACATGCACAATGTAGATGAATCTTAAGAACATTTTGCTGAGTGAAATAAGCCAGACACAAAAGAACAAATATTGTATGATCAAGCTTACATGAGGTACCTAAAGTAGATTCACAGAGATAAAGTAGAATGGTAGTTGTCAAGGAAAGGGCGAAATAAGGAGTTAATTTTCAATGGTATGGAGTTTCAGTTTTGCAAGATGAGAGTTCTGGGAGATTAGTTGCAAAACGTGAATATACTGATTGCTACTGAACTGAACCCTTAAAAATGACTAAGATGGTAAATTTGTTTTTTTCCAAATAAAAAATTAAAAATAATTTGCATGTATTTCATTTGTATATATGTTAGTTTCTCCTCAAATTGTTGCAAAAAACAGCAAAACTGGCACTAAACAAATTCAGTCAGATCTGGGATGAGGAAATTCACCTAAACATCGGTAAGGCACAGAATTTGAGGATCACATTCATACGGAGAAATATGAGGTTTTGGAGAGGACAGAGAACCAGAAATATGTAAAAGCCTTAATCCACTTGATATAAAGTTATAAACATGGAAAAGAAAATCCTATTCAAAACTACTTTTTGAAAATATTTTAATCCCTTTTTAAGGCTAAGGTTTTTTTTTTTTTTTTTAAAGAGCATGTGATTTTTTTTTTTTTAAGATTTTATTTATTTCAGAGAGAGAATGAGAGAAAGCACGAGAGGGAAGAAGGTCAGAGGGAGAAGCAGACTCCCTGCTGAGCAGGAAGCCTGATGTGGGACTCGATCCCGGGACTCCAGGATCATGACCTGAGTCGAAGGCAGTCGCTTAACCAACTGAGCCACCCAGGCGCCCTTAAGGCTAAGGTTTAAGGACATGAAAAGGAATGGAAGGGAGAACAGTAAGAGAAGAGACAGGAAGGGAGAGAGAGGGACAGGTCAGCAGGCGGGGGGGGGGGGGGGGGGGGGGGGGGGGGGGGGGGGGGAGGGGGGGGGGGGGGCGCGCTGTGTTGGGCGTGGAGATGAGGGAAGATGAGACCCTGGAGAGAAGGATGGAGATTTAGAGAAACTACTCAGGTCTCATCTGCATTCGCTGTTTCTGGGCTGGATGTTCCTACTTCCCTCTAACATGTCAATTAGCAGCTGTTCATCTTCAGCCCTTCAGAGACTGCATAGAGTCAGACACCCATAGGAGCAGATGGGGAAATGGTTAAGAACTACGATGCAGGAAGTGACCAGACACAGCTCTGAATCCAAATGGAGGTCTTCTGCCTCTCACAGCTCTGTCACACGCTCAGATAACCATGTGCCCCTTTGATGACTCAGCCCATTGCTCTTAAACTCTGGGGGAAAGCGGGAAAGACTTTGTCCAGATGCTTTTAAGATGACTGCCGTAGGCAGTAATGATGCTTCCAATCTCCTGTTGTACAGAACCCCTCTTAGAACTTGCCACGTGCCTTTAAAATGATTAACAATGACTCGGGAACACCTCCAGATCCCTCCTGACCACAGTGAACTACTACCTACCCTCCTCCTCACTGTTCCATTCCTGCAGCAGCAGGCTCAGCCCCGGAACATCAGCAGCTGAGGTTGGGAAGAATCCAAAACCCTTCCTGGGACGCTCAATCTACCAGTGGCTTCTTTAGTCACTAGCCCTCAGAAGTTAAAAGTTCTGCACAACTGCAGATAAAGGGAATGGAAAACTCAAGAATCAAAAGTCCTTTGGTCAGGAGGAAAGGACTCTTTGGAGAGGCAGGGGAACCTCTGAAAGTCTCATGTCCGGGGAATGGAGCTCACTTGACCTTTCAGCCCTTCTCTGTGACCCAGGGGCCCCTTACCCACGCCTGCGTTATTGAACATCCCAGGGAGCACCAGCATGATGTGGTTGGGCCAGTACTTGCGGTACAGCGGCATCTCGTATTCTTTGACCACCAGAAGATGCAGGTGGCTGATGCCCTCCATGGCGTGAAAGAGGTTTAGGAGTCCATGTTCATGGCGACCACTGGAAGGAGTGAAAATAGGGCTCTTGACTGCATTCAAATTCTGCTGAAAGGGAAAAAAAAAAAAAAGAAAAGAACCAGAGACCAAAAAGGGAAATTAAAACCCTTAGATTTAGGAAGTTTGGAGAACCCAATCTAGTATGTCGGGCCTGTCTGTCTGAAATCAGTGTTCGCATCCAGATACTGCCACCCACCTTGTCAGAAACCAGGGGCAGCCGCATACTCTCCAGGTGTTTGCCCTGCTTGCTGAAGACAAAATGACTCTCTTTGGATTTGGGAATGATGAAATAGAGCTGCACCTCTTCTCCCAGCATGGAGGAAGAGAACGTGAATGCGTGAAGGGTGGAGTCGGACATCTGTGTTTGTATAGAAGAGAGGAAAAGGATGTAAGCTCATGGTTTGCAAACTTCTAGACCACTCATTAAGGTTGTTTTCAAGAGAGGCAAACTAACCTGAACTTCTAGAGGCCACCAGATCTGGCTGTGCCTGCAACATTGGAAGAGTTGGAAACGCAAATGCTTCATCTTTTAGTCGCTACCACTGACATGAGAGCCAAGCATCTTGCCTCTACACAGCCTCTCTGAGGATGGAGAATTTTCTGTTGCCTGGCACGGTCTTTGAATTCCTCATGTTCTTAGAGCCACTACCACTCAGACTTATGCAGAGGTTAAATATCCCTGTGGGATGTCCTGCTCTCTGAACATTTTCAAAGGTGCCCAGTTTTAGGGGGAAAATCACTTCCATCTATGTGGATCAAGCTAAATGAATATCATTTTGCTAAGTAAAACATTAGGGCTAACATTAAAATGCATCTGTGGCCCCATCTTTCCTAGCTACAGTAGAAGCTGAAGAAATTTGAACACTTAGCCTAGAACTCTGGCTTCCAGGAAAAGACCATTTGACTAATTGAAGGCAAATATAAAACTAATTTATTTTTTAAACTGCCAGAAAGTTGGGGCACCTGGCTGGCTCAGTTGGTAGAGCACGTGACTCTTGATTTCAGGGGCCAAGATTTCAAGTCCCATGTTGGGCACGGAGCTTAAAAAATAAAAACTAATTTTTGCTACAAAGTTCAAATGCTCAGGGCGCCTCAGTGGCTCAGTCGGTTAAACATCCGACTTTTGGTTTTGGCTCAGGTCGTGATCTCAGGGTTGTGGGTTCGAGCCCCACTGTGGGCTCTGCGCTCAGCAGAGTCTGCTTGGGATTCTGTCTCACCCTCTCCCGTTGCCCCTTTCCCCTCTGAAAATAAATAAATACATATTTAAAAAAATAATAAAGTCCACATGCTCTATCAGTAACCCAGCTCAGTGAATAATTACATAAAGGTCTTTAGGTGCTTTACAACACGGCATTGGGCTTCATGAAAGGGTAGCATCAATTTTCCGCAGCAGCTAGAAATCAGGTAGATTTCCCAAAAGTTTTAACCTAAATATTATGTTACATAGGAAAATAGTATTGTAATTCTTCCCTTAAATTCTAGTTCATTCTGCTTCACAAGTGTGGGAATATACTACTTAGTGAATACTACAATCATAGAAACTAACTATATAAACAGGATTTTTAATAAGTTTTCTAAAAGCTTATGATTTATAAACCGGAGACTTGAATCTTCTATATTCTGTAAAGCATTGTGAGTGGATTACAAACTAGCCCACCAAAAGTTTTCAAGAACACCAAGAAAACAAATGGGGCATAAAAGATAACTTGTATTAGAAGAGCAGAGTGACCAATCCAGTTTTTCAGTATATCCCTTCTGGCACCTTGTGGGAAAAGGGTGAAGACATGGTCCTCCAGAGCGGAAGCAAGTTTGGGGGAAGTCCCATCAGCATGTCCTACAGGAAGGAAGAGTTGTTCTAGGTGTTCAGAACTAAGTCATAAAAATCAAGAAGGTAAAGTGGGAGAAAGCAACATAGAACTTATCCCCCACATGGGCTCTGGACTGCTGTCATTTGCTGCCTTTCCCACCTTTTGTGTTTACAGATGCTCTGGCCAAAAAGCAGCCAAAGACTATGGGGTATTGGCTCACCTTCTGTGTTTCTACCTCTCACTTCTCTCTAAATAAAAGATAAATATTGACCCCTCCGTATGCCTAGTGATCAAGACCACCCCACACTGGAGTAAGAAAATGACTTGGTCCGTGCCGATCAGCAGACTTGTTCACAGCTCAAAGGGCACCCCGTGGACTTGTTAGATAAGAGCACCATTTTTGTCAACAACCCAAAGTGGGAAAAAGGCCCACCTTTTTCCACCATATATTTCACCAAATATACCATACTATCTCATTTTTTCAGGATCACAGATAACAGCTAACCTAAACACGACACATGGAACCATTTTGATAAAGTGACTTCAGAGGCTAAAACTCAAGTTTCTTTCTTTCCCTTCTCCTCCCACTGCCCACAATCCTAATAAGCTCAAAGTAATTAATTGCTTCCCACATTCTGCTCACAAATGTGCAGCTCCATCTCGTAAATCAGGTGTCCTCTGTCTAGGGCCCGAAACTGGGAGCCTTCCTTTTCAGTCCTGACACACAAGATCCTTGTTGGGCGACAGGCAAGGACAAGGGGGCCACACCTGGGAGGCAGAAGTGAAGTCCATGTACTGGTGGCATTGCTCGCAGTGGTGGAAGGTGTTGTAGGCCGCGTACTTGGTCAGCATCATGGACACGGTTCCTCGCTTCCTGGGCTCCTCGGCTTTGGCATCCTTTATTGCTTCTGCATATCAAGGGGCAAAAAAACCTTGCCATGATGTGCATGGAGCCCCTACTCCTGGGAAGAAAGTCCCCCATTCCCTGAAAGGCCTCTTCCAAGGATTCTATAATTTATGCCCAGAGAGTCAGGTATGAAAAGTAAAAGGTGATCAATACATGTGTAAGAGAAGGGAAAAGCAGAATTCCTTTAAACTGCTCTCAATGATTAAACTGCCCCAGACCTCCTGCCTTGGTTTAGGTGCCCCTTGACCTGCAGAGGGGTCCGCCTAGCTCTGCTGGCACTGACCTTGTTTGACCCCTGCCAGCTTCTCTGTATATACCAGGCTCATCAAGCTGTACTTGGGATCGTGCACACTGACGTCAAAGGGCATTTTACGGAAGCTCTCAATGTCAGGCCAGGGCTCGCCCTCCAACTGGCTGACTTCACGGCTTTCACTGTGATCTAGGACAAGAAGAAAGAAAGTGTGCAGAGCAGCCAGACTGACCAGCCTCCCAACCTCCCTCCCAAGGGTCAGGGACGAGAGGTTTTAGGAAACATGACTCCCAGATGGGTGGACAAAGGCATTTCTGAAAAATGATCTCCCATGTCCCAGGGCAGACAGGCCCAGAATGATTCCTTCAGGCCCATGCCGGGAGAGACTCATGCCCTCACTGGCCCCAGCATGAACCTCTACAGATCTGGTTCACCAACAACCACTTCCAGGAGATCAACTAGTCTCCCATCCCAGCTCCCCAAATTGTCTGAAAAGCTTGTTTAATTTTAGGTGATCTAAATTCTCACCGTTTTCGTTGTGGGGTTTAAAATATGGACCGCCTAAGAGATTTTAGGGATGCACTGAGCAAGATTCCCAGTGTTTGCTGCATAGGAGAATCACCTGGGAGCTTGTAAAAGAAATCCCTGTACTTAGGTCACTACCCCCACAATCGCCCTTAGTCCCCAGACACCTGTCACGGCAATTAAAGCTGCTTAGGTGGCTCCAATAGTCAAGTTTGAGAGCTAGTAGCCCCGGGCTTGAATGCAGACTGCTCCTTCCTACTGCATAGTGACAGCCACCGCCCTCAGCTCGCAGGGAGCCCCGTTATTGTAAGAATTCCAGATGGTGTGCTGGAAATGCTCAGACATGGTAGGCGCAGGGAGGGTAACCAATAGAGGATATTTATTGTTACTATTGATAAAATTCATAAGATTCAAAAGCTTAAGATAACTTTCAAAGGGAGAAAGAGAAAAGCTTAAAAAAAAAACCTAAAGACTACAAGTACAGTTATTATTTTTTTAACACAGTATCGTTTATGTTTGGGCGCCTGGGTGGCTCAGTCGGGCGTCTGCCGTCGGCTCAGGTCATGATCCCAGGGTCCTGGGATCAAGCCCCGCATCGGGCTCCCTGCTCGGCGGGAAGCCTGCTTCTCCCTCTCCCACTCCCCCTGCTTGTGTTCCCTCTCTCTCTGTGTCTCTCTCTGTTAAATAAATAAATCTTTAAAAAATAAATAAAACCCAAAGCTTATTCTAGTTTTGTTTTGTTTTTTTTTTTTAATACCACCGTGGCTCTCCAGAGCACCATCGCATTCACCTGCACTAAAATGAGGTAGAAGGAATAAAGCCAAGCTAACGGCACAAAGGCCCGGTTTGCTGGTCACACCAGCTGTGGTAGATTCTCTCACAGCTCATCACACAGATTAAAGCCCAAGAACAGTGTAGCCGGATCTGAGGAGAAAATTAAAGGCGTCGTTGTCTTGTGGAGCCCAGGGACTTTGTGAGAAGGTTGGCGAGATGACAGGTCCCTCTTTCCTTCTCTGTGTGGTTCTGCCTTTGCCCTCTTGGTCCCAGCCCCCTCCAGGCGGCCCTGAGTGTTTCAAGGCCAACTTGGATCTCTCGGTCCCCTCTGTGGTGGGCCTGGGGTCTGGTGCAGCTCAGGTGGGGACACAAACAAGGAGAGGCCGGTGGGAAGATGGGATTGTGTGTGTGTCTGCAATCATGAAGGAGTGGAAATAGGGCCGAAAGTGATAATACAATGATTAAATACGGCTGACTTTGCCTAGTCTTGCTCTGGACTGAACTAGTCCCTTGGGCTTGTCACAGAACAAGTCCAACTATTTAGGACAAGCAGCAAGTGGGGTGAGATCTGAGGGCCAATCTGACAGAAGATGCCAAGGCCTTTCCCTTTTCCAGACTCATCTCTGAGGGGCTTGGAAGAACTTCTACCTGATGACTTCTACTGTCCATGCCCCCCTCCCCGCCCCCCCTTCCAGTACAGGTCACTGCTCCAAGATGTGAAGCCACAATATGGAGGCCACACTGTCCCTAGCTACAGAGCTAATGCTGGCTGATCCTGCTCACGCTCACTTTCTGGCTCTGCTGGCCAGGCTCCCTGCCCGTGGGAGCCTCAGGTGACAGCTGATGGGGAAGGGCTGAGAAGGGGCTACAGGAGGAAGATGGGAGATAATCTTTTTGAAAACCAGCCCCCACAGCCCTGTCAAGCACTAGCTCCTGCATCTTTCTGCAAACGTGAAGGGGTTTGTTAATGGCACTAGGTTTTGGTTCTGCACAAAGTTTTAGAGTTACCCATATACCTTCTCTCCGAGCCTGCTGTTAAAGCAGAAGTAACCAGCGAATATCGGACCCTGAGCAGAATACTGCAAGTGAATTTTACACCCATAGAAGCAACTAATCCACCTACGAGGGCTTTATAAAATGCCTCTCTGCCCTGCCTCCCGGGGGACGTTAAGAAGGGGAGGCCAGAAGTGGAAGACTCCACCGCAACTTAAAGAGCTAAAAAGTGGCCACAGTGTCCGCACAACCGTTTGCTCGCACGGCGCTCCTGGCCTCCCGATAACCCTGCACATTCGGCACCGGGACAGCCCGCAAGCGGACTTGGGTGTCAGTGTCTTGTATCTCGGCCCGCGACCCGCGCAACTCACCCGCGTTGATCTCTCCCTCATCATACACATCCACCTCCAGGAGCCTGATGAGCATGCGGAAGAGGATCCTAAGGAACTGTAAATAGGAGCCGGTCTTTCCCACCTGATGGAAATATTTTTAATTGGGGAGGAGGGAGGGGAAGAGAGGGAAGGAGAAGAGAGACGAGATTTCACACCTGGGCTCTTGGATCGCTCCTGCCCCTGAGAGGCAGAGCGAGGACCTCATCGCTCTGGGTCAACCCCCACCCCACCTCGCGCGGCTCCCCCGCTGCCTTCCTTCTTGGGGACCACAGGTCCTACCTGAGGGGGGCCGGTCAGCAGCAGCCGCCGGGGGTGGCAGGTGCGGGCGCCCGAGGCGGGGTCCGGCTGGTTGCTGAAGTCGGCGTGGTGCTGCCGAGCCGAGGTCCACTGCCGGTAGTAGAGGGACTGCTCCTCGCTGCTCATGTCCTTGTGCAGGAGCGGCCGCAGGGAGCTCACCCAGGCCACGTCGGCGTGCGGCAGCAGCGAGGAGGACGCGGGCGGCTTGCCTCCCCGCTGCGAGCCCAGCAGGCTGTAGGCCGCCTTCGATAAGATCACGATCGGGGGCAGGGCGGTGTGCAGGCCCCTGCAGCCCTGGGGCGGCTGCCCCGGCCACGAGAGGGCCCGGGGGCCCGAGGATGAGGACGACGACGGCTTGGAGGTGGTGCTGCTGGCCATCTGGGGGCCCAGGGAGTCGCACTCCTGCTTCAGGGTCTCCCCAGCTCCCGTTGTGCCCGTGGAGACCCCTTCATCCAGCCCCATGCTGTTGGCCGGGCTCTGGAAGCTGGGGGTCAGGGACAGTTTCTGGGACTTGTCGGCCGTGCTGGAAGAGCTCACCCCGTTCTCCATGATGGAGCCTGGAAGAAGACGGACGTATCCATCAGCAGGGCTCGGCCGTTTACTGCCCGGTTCCCTCCCTGCATGCCGGCCAGGCTAGACCGCCTTCCTCCGGGAGGGCTGTGGCCTCTCCAGTCCCAGACGCTGCTTCCTCTGCTGGCTTCCTTGGGCCCAGGGTGCCCAGGGCGCTCTGGGGGTAACTATACCTCGAGCTCCTTTTCTAAATCCTACCCCCATCTTTGTAAATGGTGTAACTTTATTAAACTCTCCTCGGTGACCTCATTTGAATATGCCACCTGATTCATCCGACCCTGACCAATACAGGCTCCATGTTCAAGTTCTGCTCCAGGGCACTTGCCACCTCCTGGGGTCCAAGGGTCTCACGCTTCTGGTTGTGGAGAAGTTCCCAGGGAGGTAGCCACTTCCCATGGATGCCCAAACCAGCGTGGGGAATGTCTCCATGTGACAGAGGATGTAAGGCACAATCTACACTCAATGAGGTCTTGCTTTCATCCAGAGATCTCTGTGCATTTGGCCAATTCACTTCAAATACGTTTTCCCCTCTGATGGGTCAGCCACTCTTTCATTTGTGGACAAACCAAAAGTTCATACGTTCAGGACGGAAGGCCCTTTCTGAGCTCACACTGATGCTCGAAGGCATGTAGGTCAAATCCCAACCTCAGGAGGTCCCAGAGGGGCAGCCAGTAACTGGAGGTTGCTGCAACTAAGTCACTCCACTTGCTCATCTGACTTTTGTGTCCTTCCATCTTGCATGAGAGCCTGCTTTTCCCCTCACAGCCCTGGCCTTTAGAGCCTGCACACTTTCGGCAGTGAACTTCCCCAAGGACCCTCAGAGTCAGCCCACGGCTGAGGGACGTGTGCTCAGTGGTGGGAGCACAGGCAGGCCAGGTTGTCCCTGGAGGGAGGGAAACTAAGCAGCAGAAGGCAAGCCATGACCTTTGTGCCAGTTAATCGGAGCAAGGACAAGACTGTGTGAGCCTTGTGGGGCAGCTCTGGAAGTGCAGGGAAAGGGGAGGGTCTGACTAAAGAGCCCCAGGAAGGAGGTAACACCCCCTCACCTCTCCCTCGCTGATGCTGGTATCCAGAAACTTCCAGATGTGATGGTCCCCCTTCCCTTCTGTTACTCTTTACTAGCCCCCAAACTTCTTGCCTTTATTCTGAACTGGTCTCAGAGAAACCACTGGGGAGCCTGGAGTGCTGGGGTTGGAGGAAGGTACAGCCCGGACCCCTGGCTGAGGCGCGCAGCTGGGCACACCCAGTAGAACAGTCCTCTTGCTCTTCCAGGCGGAGGGTCCCTATCAACACAGAAAGCCCCGTAGAGGACCGCCTCTTCGATTCCTGTAGCCATCCAGCAGCAGCTGCAGGATGAACAGACTCACGAGGGCTGCCTGCGACCTGAAACCGTCTGTGTGTCTGCATGCATGTGTTATGATGATGGAAGAGGGGAGACATGGGAAAGAAGAATGTTCACAGTGGTCTTCTCTGGTCGTGGAGTTTTCATTTTTATTTATTCATTTATTTTAAAGATTTTATTTATTTGAGAGAGAAAGTAAGAAAACATGAGGGGGGAGGGGCAGAGGGAGAAGCAGGCTTCCCGCTGAGCAGGGAGCCCAACTCAGGGCTCCGTCCCAGGACCCCGGGATCATGGCCTGAGCCAAAGGCAGACGCTTAACCAACTGAGCCACCCACGTGCCGCCTCTTTATTTATTTTTAAAAGAAATCTCCACCCCCAGTGTGGGGCTTGACCTCACAACCCCAAGATCAAGAGTCTCATGCTCTACTGACTGAGCCAGCTGGGCACCCCAGGGTTTTAATTTTTAACCTCTTCTCTATCCTTTGTTACATTCTCCAAGTTTTCTGTGTTGTTTTATTACTTTCCTAATGAGAAAAAAAAATGGAAACAGTGCTGCATTTGCAGTAATATAAGTCATCAAAAGAGAGTTCATGCCGGGCACTGCCAGAGGCCATTCAGTGACGCTCCAGGAGTGGGGCTGGCAGGCTGCATGGCAGCTCAGCACGGCCAGTGGCCCCAGAGTAGCCTTCGGTCTACAAACACTTGCCATTGACTGCTTAGAAAAGCCATTCATTCACTCATTCATGCATTCATTCAAACAAGTAAACACTGTGCCAGGTACCAAGCCAATGAGCACAAACTTAACAGCTTTCGGATCTAGACGGAAAAGAAGGCTTCTGTGCAAATTGCAGATGTATAATATCCATGAGGTGATTAAGGGTGGAAAAGACTCGGGAAAATGGTGCAGGCTGGGATTGGTAAAATTTATTTATTATACTTAGCTTATTACCAAGTTCTTCATTAAATGTTTATCCCAAGAAGTATTCTGTGGCTGTTCAACAGTTAATGTTTTCCAAGTATCTCTCCTGGGAACCCGAGGTCTGGACCGGATGCCCGAGCCACCAAAGGCTCCTCTGATGTGCTTGAGAGGTATGAGTAAATGCCTCCCCCCTCCCCCCTACCCCCCCACCCCCACGTCCCCACAGACAGCAAGCAAGCACTGACCCGAGGTTCCAGTGACAGCACTACCGTTGCTCTGTGGCCTCTCCAGGTCAACCAGCAGCTCCTCAGCATCGTTCTCGCTGGCAGAGGCTCTCTCCTGCTCCTTCCCACTAAGGTCCAGGGCAACAGCGGGGCCCCGGATGACCTCTTTGGAGACATAGCAGCACGCCAGACCCACCTCCTGCTCCAAGGCTGTGCGAGTTAAATAGCTTGAGTCGATGAGCCGGAGGTCACAGTACTTCAAAGACCTGCACGTAAGTCATGATGTTTTGGGTGAGTCCATCTGGCCTTGAGTCAAACCTCAGCTTTGTTGCCTCCTCGCTGTTATGACCTTGCACTAGCCACTTCCTCCTCCCCAAGGATAGAATAGAATAGCAGTGCCTGGCTCATGGGCTGTATGGAATGCACGGATGGCGCAGGGAAGACATCTGCGGCAATGCCTGACACACAGGAAGCATGTGGCTCGTGCTGTTATTACTGGCGTTGAGGCCTTCCTGTCCCCAGGCCCTGGGCCCTTAACGGGCGTGGGAATAGCAAATGAAGAGACACTTCATCCAAATAACAAAATCCCAGTTGGGGCAGATGCTTTCCCTCCCTGCCTCTCTGGCGGCCCTGCTTTGATGCAGAGACACTTCTCACTGTGGCTACCTTCCATTTACCCAATGCTAGGCAATCTCTGGAAAATCAAAACAAAGGGTCAAGGAAGGGTGTGTGTCTTTTCTCTCTGAGGAAAGCGATTCTCTTCCTCCTCGAGGAGCCCAATGAATGAAATGGCTAAGTGTCAGCCAAGTTTTAGCCATCAGCTTAGCTGGGCAACTAATGAAGAATGGGAACTGGCCGTTCACATTGTACCTGGGAAATGTTTCTCCAAGAGGATCTTTGCCAGTTAATATCACAATACAAGGAAGACCTTCTAAATCCTGGTATGTCCGAGGGGTCCACTCTTCCAGCTCATTTCCTCTCCAGGTCTGTAGAAAGGGACCCACATGATAAAATTAAAACCCCTTATTTAAGTTTCCACTTCTTAAAAGGTTTCTAGGTCCAGATTTTAGATGCCTTTGTGCTTCCAAACGTCTTTCAGTGTGTGTGTGTGTGTGTGTGTGTGTGTGTGTGTGTGTGTATACTAAATTGCTACTAAAAAGCATAACAAAGCACTCTAGAAGAATGTGGCCTTCAGTTTTATCTCAGTAGGATAAAACAGGAGACCTTGGTGTACATCATGCAATAGCCACGCAGGCCAAAGCAGCAGACAAGGTGAACAACCCTGGTTAAACTACCTGACTCAAGGCTCTCAAATACACTTTCTTCATGTAATGGACAGACTCTTGGGATGGACTGACTGAAAAAGACAGTTTCAGTTATGAATGACTAATAAAAGCATCTCAAAAGACTCCACGAAGACAGACATTTTCACCAAGAAAATCATGAAGTTAGTTACCCTTGATGGTTTTTTCCCCTCTTTCTTTCTATATTGACTTTCAAAATAAGTGACAAGTAATAATTGACTTGGGGCTCTCAAAAGTCTCTCTCAAGAAGGCGAAAAATATAACCAAATCTGAACCAATAAAAAAAAAAAAAACCCTGTCCCTTACTTAGAAGAGTAATGCTATTAGCTTATGGTTTCACAAATAACCTATGAAGCATCAACTTATGATATAGATTAACACATACATACACGTGTATGTGTATCTTTAATAAATGGAATGCCAATCAGTGCAAAGAGAAAAAAAAATCCCACCAACCTGAAAGATGTTCAAAAGTGAAAAGATCTTATAGATTTTTAGATTTTAGAGCAGAAAGAAAATAGACTATGTCTTAAGTAGATAAGGTGGTTTCTACTATTTATAAAGTGTCTAGCATCTAACTATGCTCATAACAGCTTTGCAGCAGGAGTTACTATAGGAAATAAACTGATGTTTCTGATAATGCTTTAGGGAACAAAGAGTAAGAGGTCTTAAGTAATGCATACACTTTATTTTAAAATAGACAGGTACTTCTTTTGCTAAACACAAAATGGGATAAAGAAATCTAATAGGCAAGAAATAATGTCATAGGGTTTGATTAATGATTTGTTGGTGTCTAGATAAAACAACCTTTAGAAATAAATATACCCACAATTATTTGAATAAAGTGTATATAATTTGTAAAATGGGAAGCACTCTAACCTAACAAGTGTTTTTTTAAATCATATATTTGCATACCAAAGGGAAATCAATAGATCTATATAGCTGTTTACAAATTTGAGAGACTTTTCTTTTTTGTCTTAGAAAATCAATCTATCCAGGGTGGCTCATTGGGTTAAACATCTAACTCTTGATTTCCACTCAGGTCTTGATCTCAGGGTCATGAGTTCAAGCCCTGCATTGGGTACTACTCTGGGTGTGGAGCCTACTTTAGAAAAAAAAAATCTATCAAAAATATTTTTTTAAATATTAGAAGAAAGGTACCTACAAAAATTCAGTTTTCCATACATTGTCATGTCAAAGTAAATATAATAACACTTTGCTTTAGAGTAAACAATTCTGGGAACAGGAATCATTTTGCTTATATAATTTTGCATTGGACTCATGATGTCCCTGACACTGAGGTTCTCCCTGAATGGATTTTATCTCCCAGAAACCATCCATTGGTCATGGTTCACAAATAATGAGGTCGTTATAATGATGGTATAAGGGATATTATGTTTTACTCTACAAAAAGATTTATTTTCAAAAGATTATTAAAGAAATCTTGCTTTTACTCTTGACCAATCAGAGCTAGCCAAAACACTCCAACATGCTTTTCTGTTCTGATGAATGATGGCCACCATTCTTCAACAGACTGACCATGTCCTCAGGATGATTTCACTGCAGAGCATTTAAAACAACACAAAAGATGGGGTGGGCACTGAGTTCAAGGAAAATATGGGGCTCATGGCCAAGGACATTTGATGAAAGCTTCACAGGCCTTCTGGAGGAACTGATTTATTTAGATTTAAGCCTGGTGTCCTTCCAGAATGCTTGTCATCACTTATAAGTCAATCACAACACATAGCAGGATAATTAGAGGGAAAATAAGGCCATCCAATGGAAGAAGAGGCAGAGGATCTTACCCAAGACTACAGATAAAAGGCACACCCACCCACCCATGCCATCCTGATAGTGGTAAGGGAGGTTAGTAACTTAGAGATAAACATGAAGGGATGCCTGGGTGGCTCAGTTGGTTAGGTGTTTGACTCTTGATTTTGGCTCAGCTCATGATCTCAGTGTTGTGGGATCAAGCCCCAGGTCAAAATTCAGCACTCAAATGAGGAGTCTGCTTGAGGAGTCTCTCTCCCCCTCCTTCTGCCCCTCGCCTTGCTCCCGTTCTCTCTCTCTCAAATAAGTAAATCTTGGAAGGAAGGAAGGAAGGAAGGAAGGAAGGAAGGAAGGAAGGAAGGA